CTGGTTCAGACACATGTTCAGCTGTAGTAGTTGCAGGTGGCAAAGGCGCAGGTGCAGGTGGAGCGGCAGTTTGCTGCCGATTCGTGTCCTGTGTGGGCTCTGGAGGAGTCGTCAGGCCATTGAGAGAGGGAAATTCGTCCTCTTTAAAAACTACATCACGACTATAGATAATTGCGTGAGTGTCGATGTCCATCAAGCGGTATCCTTTCTTTTGGTCCGGCACACCAAGATACATACACAAACGGGCTCTAGCGTCGAGCTTGTCTCGGTATTGCTCCGTGATGTGGACATAGTCGCTACACCCGAATACTTTGATGTACTGCATGGATGGAATACGGCTGTGCCAAAGCTCGTACGGGGTTCGACCATCCGTCTTGGAACTAGGAGTCATATTGATGAGAGTGGTCACGTGACAAACACACTCGGTCCATAACTGCTTGGGTAGCTTGCCATCAAGTAGAAGGGCTCGGACACGCTCCATGATGGTACGCATGCGACGTTCTGCAACTCCATTTTGTTTAGGAGTGTAATCATTGGTAAACTGAGCGTGAGTTCCATACTTTTTAAAAATAATGCGGCCAAGCTTTTTGTACTCTTTAGCATTGTCTGCTTGAAGCCGCTGAATCTCAAAACTCCCCTCGTGTGTATTGTCTTCAACACTGAACGTGTATTTAATGACAGATATATCCTGTCTGGAAATATTTAGGGCTTTCTTCCTGAAGTCCTCGGAGCAGTCATACAACTCGCTCCGGTTCTTAATTGCGTAAGTGAACATAAATCGAGAAAAGTCATCGATGAAGATCAAGAAGTAACGGCAACCAGTAAGGCTAGGCACAGGTAGTGGACCACATACATCTGAATGAACTTTTGACAAAGGGAATGCGGCACGTTTAACAACTCTATTAGAGTAAAATGGGGAGCGGTGTGACTTCGCTAACGTGCAGGCAACACAGAAGAAATCTGTCTTTGGACCTAGAGGTATAGATTCATCGAGTCCATGTATGGCTTGGCTCCTAGACAGATCATTTAAGACACGAGCGTTAGGGTGTCCAAGTCGTTTATGTAGAAGCAGAAAGGAACGTTTCTTACCTGAGGCAATAAGAGCCGCTGGAGGTGCCGTTGCTTTGGCTTGGAACTGATACAGATCCGTGTTAGTAGCCATAAGCGCCTTGATCTTGAAGCATTGGTCAGTTTGCATAGCGCACTGTTTGCGGTCAAAGCTGAAGCGAAAATCGTGCTTCACAGCTGCTGGAATTGAAAGCAAACTGAATTGGGGCTGGGGAGCATACAAGACGCCATGGAGAATAAGCGTCTGCAACAGTGCCCTTGGCGTCCGTGACTACCAGCTCGACCCGTCCAATGCCTTCGATGGGGATTCGGTTATTACCACCGACTGTTATCGAGCCACCACTGGAGGCGATGTCGGTGAACCACTGGGATTCATGAGTGACGTGGCGAGTGCAGCCAGAGTCGATCGTCCAGGTGGGGCCAGGTTCTACCTTGGCTTGAGCGGTGAGGCTAAACGTGGGATTGACTGTGGTAGCAACGGCTATGAGACCAGTATCACGACGTCCTTGGCGAGTCACCTTGCGGTTATTACCAGAATCACTTTCGTCGTCATCTCCCTCGTCGTTGTCTGACTCAAGAGGTCGGTCCTTGTAGCGATCTTGGCCGCGTTGTTTACCGCCATTTCCATGGTTGTTCTTGCTACTACCGTTGTTGCCCTTGAAGTCGCGGTTTTTATTGTTGTCGTGTCGTCTATTCCCGTCTTTGCTCGAGTTCTTGTACGGGTGATCACGTTTCGAGTTACCCTTGAAGGCAAAGTTGGCAGGAAGCACAGTCCCAGCCTTTTCTCGCCCATCACGTAAATCTTTCTGCAGGCCCCGACATTGACGAATGTTGTGGCGTGGGCGATCACAGTACGAGCAGACATTAGCGTTGTCACGGCCTTGAGCATGTGACGCTGGAGGTCCCGTAGCCACTAGTGCTCTCTCACCCTTGGTAGCAGAGGTCTCTGGTGTGCCCTTGACCAACGTGTAGCGCTCTTGGGCTTGTAGATCGTGGACCTTGCCTTCCATACTCTGCTTAAGGTCTTCATACGGGATATACTTCCGCTGACCTTTCCAGATACGGAGATCGTCTTTCCAAGACTTGGGCATCGAGTGGAACAGGTAGATAGACTTCTGGCCCTCGGTCATCACCGATTTGGTGGCTTCTGACGCGGCTTTCATCACGTTTTCAAGCTTGAGAAAGAACTCGGTCAAGTCAGAGCCTTCCTCATACTTGATCTCCATCAAGTAGTGTTGAATGAAGTACGGATCACCATGAAAGGCTGCTCCCTCGTATTTCTGGCAGGTGTAGTTGAATATCTCGTAGGAAGTCGTGAGATGCTTGACCAGCCGCACGTGCATATTGTCCATTGTTTTCATCAAGAAGGCCTTGGTCTTGGCTTCTTGGCGACGGCGTTCGCGTTGACTAAGAGGCTGAGGCTTCTCTTTCTTGACGCGTTTTGCGGGCACAGCGAGCTTCGCGCTGGTTAAACGGACGAACTACCGGGAGGTCTTTCCGCTTGAATGAAGTATCGGAACTAGCTCCAGAGTCTTCGTCCGAGTCCGAGGGCGGCTTGAGCTCGTCGTTGCTCTCGTCGTAGTCAACAGCATCGGAGTCGATTTCGACGTTCTTGGTAACTTTGCTATGCGACTTAACGTTGTCGTCAGACATATTGCTGCTGCTGTCTTCACTCTCATCTTCAGACACACCGTCGTAGTCAGGCTGCTTCACGTAGCCGAGTAGGTGCTCGCCATCTAGTGCTGCGCACACACGGGTCTTCCAGACGTCGAAGTTCTCGGCGCCTATTAGGCGTGGAAAGTCGTCGCTTGAGGCTTGGCTTGGGCTCATAATCTATGGCTCGGTAGGCATATAGATAGCAAGGAGAGAAGAAGAAGCTTTAGTTGGAGACGTCGAAAGACGAAGTGAGTGTATTTGAGAGGGAAGGTAATTCCAGTACATGACTGACCTAGGAAGGGGGAGCCTATAGTATTGCTCACTCTATAGCATACTCTACTCTATTGTAACAGCTTACGAAGGGTTTGAGCTGACTGGATATCAGCTCTTGGGTACACCGTACCGTTGTTAAAGAGGCGACTTCAACAACCCTAACGATGGTTGGCAGCAAAATCATGCGTGTCTTGATCCGCAATGCAATTGCCCGTCTGAAACACTAGACCATAACATATGGACTTGCGAGAAAGCTCAGGCAGCTTGGTGTTTTTGGATACAACGATGGACAGGTGAAAAATGTACTTCAGCGAAGCTACAGGAGCTACAACTAGCTAGCACACCACGACAAGCGTCTCCACTTCCTGCAGCTTTCCTTATCAATGCGCCGGGTTCACACAGAAGTTGTGAGTTTACTGTGGCACATTTGTAGTACCACATCGCCAGCTATGTTATGGAGATTGAGAAATAAAATAGTGCTCGACAATGAAGTTAACGACTCTTCGTCAACTCAAGAAGCAATTTATGCGGGGGGGGGGGGGGGGTATCAAGTACAGGCAATAGCAAGCGCTTGAAAACGACTGGAAAAGACAGAATTAAAAGACTATGCCTTGAAGTTTGCCAGCACATCATGAACCTTAACGGAGAAGAAGAGAATGTACCGCACATTTCCGGCTGGATGTTGGAGTTCTTTCAGCGTACCAACCCGCACAACATTCTAGCTGAAGCATGGGTGATCTTCTACCAGAGCCACAATACATATTGTCAAGCACAGATGGCAGTTTGTACGTTATGCCCTTCCCGTAGATCCCAGGATGTGGATTTGCTCACGAAGTACACCAGACCAACAGGTAACTAGCCTACATCACCCCTCTACAGAATGCATTTCTTCGAGTGTCAACTATCGATTCCCGGCTGACACTTCGCCAGCAAAGAATGATACCTACTAGAACCATTGCGTCAAGCGCTCAACAATGTGTTAGGGATACTATGAGAAAACCCTACAAAGAAGCACCTTCAAGCGAATGGACTTTATACAGCCAGACAAAGGTCCTAAAACCAATACAAAATGCAGCTACGTTCTACAAAATATCCTGCAAACCCTTATAATGCCCTTCAAAATGTCCGACATTTAGGAGCATTTACCCAAATATTGGTACTTTCATGATATAAAAGCAGCACATAAAACGGTATGGCGGACTTAATTAACAAATGCAAACCCAAGACCAACCGCCCTTCGCTTGGCTCGCAATACTAGAGGTGTTGCTTTGGCCTGGGACGACAGTTGATTTTTGTGTGTTTGTTTTAAAGAAATAAAAATGAAATATACTGCTAGTGATACAAATATATATGAGACAACGTCAAACAAAATGATACTTACGAGTTATCGAGATAATCGAGCTTAAAGTTGGCCAATTGATTTTCGCACTTAACCGAAGCAGTGACATTTATTGTAAACTTCCAGCGAAAAAACTGTAAAACTACCCTTATTCAATTGCTTTCAACAAGAGCTTTTAAATACAACTTAAATCTCTAAAATTGAAAAAATATTGAGTCCTAAATGTATCGTCATTTCGAGGGCCCATAAATGAAGATAATATTTTTGAGCGACCACAACTTCTTCAGTTTTAAGCATTCTGTAGCTTATAAGGGCTCAAAAGATAGAGATCGCGATTCGTACTTAGGTTCATAAGTATTTGGGCTGTCTCATATGCAGTTTAGAAAATCAAGCAATAAATGAATGGCCCAAAGGACAGCCGAGAGAGACGACGATGGCTTTATGGACATCGAGAAAAGAAGCCACAAGCTGTTGCAGTATGTACAGCCAAACCAAGTGGGTCGCGACGAGAATCGCTATTGGGCCACTTGCTGAGAGTATTCTGGATAAGGTGGCGTTGGCGAGTGACGAGCCGGAGATGATACGATCCTGTGATAATTATACGAAGAGTACAAAGCTTGCACTAGCTTATTACCACTGCTACGGATGCCATCCCGCTTTAATAATGAGCGGCTTCTCGCATTGGGTGAGCCTGAACAAGGGCCTTACTACTAGTAAAATCGATTGTCTTTGATTTGCTGGGTTTTGGGTAGACATCCTTAATCTACCCGAAAACAGTCCTACAAGTAATGAATGGGTCCTGCAGGTGGTCCTAAAATGCAGTTTTTTTCTCAAATGTTTTTCTAACTGCATTCATATCTCCCACTTCAAGCAGCTAAATTTCTGGCAAACCGACAAGCCAACCGAGTATATGACATGCAACTACAGGATCCTGATTCTGTACGGCATATTGTCAAACAAACCGAGCCACAGACGCAAATGAGTCTTGCATATAAGACACCCGGCGTTCTCGAGTGTCTACATGCCGTAAATTTAATTGACTAAAATAGAATAGCCACCTTCATCATCATCAAGGATCTACAATACTGCACCCCGTTTACGCAGGGGGATCATATAGGATTTACAAATAAATGATATTTTAGCATTCCAATTTGAGTTTTTCATTAATTTAAAATCATCACATATGGAAGTTTATCAAAGGTCCAAGGGGGCAGTACTGAAACTTAATTTCACTTAGGTGCGATTCGTAGCGTCTAAAGTCCGAATTCCCGGCGGCGGATTGCCGAGCAGTCTCCTACATTACGACAGACATGAGTGGTGGTGGCGAGTATCCGTTCCCTAAGTACACCTGGTCCCCTGCTGGTGGATGGTGGGCCAAGACCCAGAACTGGCAGCGCAAGACTGGCGTGGCGCTCGTGGTTCTGGCGGCCGTGGCTGGCCCCATCGCTCTATACTCGAGCTTGAACCATTTCAAGTTCCCGGCCGAGGAGCGCCGTAAGCTGTAGACGCCTTCAGCACTCAAAAGCAGATTGGGAAGATCGACGTCCAATTAATATGCGAGCAAAAGAGAAGACGTTGCAGACGAGAAGGCGCTGGAGATATCGGAAGTGGAACCAGCAGGAAAATGCGATTTCCAGAATACCTACTTCCCAGTAAAATGTTTCTACTCTTACATTTACAGTAGTAAACAACAAGTCATTCTGCTGTGACACCTGCCGCTTTGCTCTACTTGCTGATGTCTTCCTATCGCGCCTTATTTCTCAAGGTAGATTACAAAGGCGAGAGTGATGTTGTTGTGCAGGATACTGGTAAGCTTAGGTGAATAAGAGGTGGGGTATTAAATCTCAACAAGCTTTTACTACTTCGTTAGTTTAGGGCCATGTGTGCAGTAAGAAGAAGAACAACAAGATCAGAATTCGTGATGGTTGGCGCCTCGGCGGATTGGAGATAGCGAGGCGGCAGCTTCCGTTGGCACCGCCTGTGTGGTATTTGTTGGTAGCAACTTGGGGAGCTTAAAGGCCCATGCCGACTTGGGTTTCGGCTTTTTTTTTCTGTACGCGGCTGATGTGGTGCCACCTGCGGTTTCCTCCCCATCTGTCTCGTATTCGCTCATATAATCTGTGCCGCTCCTGTTCGTGTCGGGATAAACGCCCACTTCCTCCTGGTGGTCCTCATCATGAAGGTTAATGTTATCATTGTCGCATTCATCGTACACGTCGTAGTCATCAACCTCGCTGTGATCGCCATGGTCACTGTTGTGGTCCTGGTTGCCATGGTCGGTGTCACCACGTCCGCTATCAACCGTGTTGTCGGTCGGCACGTCCCAGCTCACCTTGCCAGATTCGTGGGCGTAGTAGTAAGTGCCAGGGTATCCCCGACTCTCGTGCTTCGTCCACCCAGGTGGTAATTTCTCCCTCGAGTCGCAGTCGTCCGACGAATCAAGTGAGACTGTGTCTTCTTCCGACGATCGGTCGCTACCTCGGCTCTTTTTGTACTTTGCAGTATCCGGTGTTGTCGTCCGCTGAGATCGGGGTACCGCTCTGTTTCTCCTCGAATCGTCACCGTCACCGTCCTCCGGTGCAGAGTGCTTTCTCGAGGACGGGTCTTTTTTCTTTTTCTTTGCCTTCCACATTGCCAACACATCCGACACGTTATCCATTGCTGGTACCTCCTCTTGAATCTTCTCCTTCGGTGTTTCTTTCGGCTTCTTCTTTGGCTTCTCGCGTGGTGGTTCCTGTATTTTTTCTTGTGGTTTCTCCTTCGGCTGCTCCTGAATTACTGGCGGTTGAGGTTTATGCTGTCTCCTGCTCCTGATAGCCGCTAGCGTCTCCTCTTCATCGTCCTCGGACAAATCCAAAAAGCTCGTGTTCTCACGCCTGGACACGGCACGCTGAATTACCTGCGCAAAGCCCCGACGGGTGATCGTTGGCCCTGTAGTGTCAGCCTTCTTTTCCTGCTTCTGCTGATCCAGTTTTGTATGTAGATTAACGAGAACGTCCTCCATGCCTTCTAACATAGCCAGCATATCGTCAGCAACATCGTCCAAATTGTCGACGTCCACTTCCGGGATTTCATCCGTATTGCCGCTATCAACTGCTCGCATCTTTAGCAGTAAAGTCTTCGCCTTAATACGAAGATTCTTCTTCGTCTCGGTCTCTTTCTGCTGTTCCTCCTCTAGCTGTGCGACGCGAAACTCTGCATCTCGCAGTTGGTGCACCGTCTCGAAGAATTGCTCATCCTTCTTGACACTGAAGCGGTGGTTGCGAATTGCGTTCATCCACTTTTCCGCCTCGTCGGCGTTGTCCGTGTCCAAATACAGCGGGCGCATCTTGGGGATGTCGCCTGCGGCCGTCTGCTCTGCCGATGGCCGCGGCAATTTGCCTGAGACTCGAAAGCAGTTGTCTCCTCCCGCTACTGCGCGTTGCAGACAGTCTGCGTTGCGCTTGATGTCTGTCAAGTACTCGAGATCGATGATGCCTCGTGGTGTCTCGTCGTCCTTGGTATTGTAGTACATGAGGTATGTCAGCGGTTTGATCACAAAATAGTATTCGTTCCATGCGCCCGGTTCGTTGTCTGCTTGCTTACGCAAAAAACCACTTTGCGTAGCCTTGGCTGTGAGCGTCTCTGCTGCGCCCTCGGCGTCAATCATATTAAAGCGTACGCGTGGACGCTTAATGCTACATGTAGTTTTCCCTCGACTGTCGCGACTGCCACGCCCCGATCCGGGCGGCCGCGACTTGGCGCGCTGGTGCGTGTCTTGTCTGAAACGCTCACGGGAGCGCTCGGAGCGCTCTTGCGTGGGCGAGTTGGAAGGGTGAGCATCCTGGTGTTGGCGGCGGCGTGAAGGCTCAAGGGACGGCGAACGATCACGTTGGCGAGGCCGAGATGCGCTGCGGTGGCGCTGCGAGCGATGCCTGGGCTCGGGCTGCATGTCGATCGATCTCAAGCAATTGCCGGAGCTCCTAATGCGATGTGAGGGGTAGTGAACGGAGTCTCGGATGTGCAAGTCTCGGTTTTGCGCCTACGGTACCGTCTGGTGAAAGAGCAGGTGGCATGCCGTCTTTACGGTTAGGGAAAAGATCGCTGGTGCTACCGATTTTTACTTTTTTTTGAACTGTACAAATACTTACCGACGGCATTTATTACTATACAGAGGAATCACTATTACAAGTAGGCGTTTACCCAATTCACGTTTACTGCACGATACACAACACTACACCTTTTCAACTTCAAAATGGCGACAGGTAAAATCAAAGTGACAAAACGTAAGTTCAAAATGACATCGAACATAGGAGCCAGCAAAGCCAAACTTGATATTGTCTTTATTCTCCTACAGGCATATCTTTCATCTGGATCGCACGCGCATGGAACTTCATGGTGTGCAACGAGCACTTGTAGCAAAGTTCTGGGGTGATAGCTTCGAGTACGAGGAGGTCTGCAGCCAGCTTTAGGTAGCTTTCACGGTGCGCCTTGATGGTGAGGTGCGGTGGGACGCGTAATGAATGAAAGGCAGTGCGGCCACAAACTGCAGCAACAGTGTCCACTGATTCCATCGACGCCGTACAGCCAGCCAGCATCCACCAAAATTGGCGGGAGTAGTTGCCGCCACTTTTTGCCTCTTTCATCTAATGAACTCCAAACGTAAATACTCCCATAAATATTAAGTGTCAGTGTCATGTCATTTTGAACTTACGTTTTGTCACTTTGATTTTACCTGTCGCCATTTTGAAGTTGAAAAGGTGTAGTAGCATCGCAGCTCGTTAACTGCGAAGTGGTGCCGGCTTGCGGTGGCATTTATTAATCCCCGCCTAAAACTGCAATGCCGCTCACACCTTTACCCACTAAGACCCCACCCACGTCGCCAAACAGGCTGACAAATGCACAGCGACGACAGATCTGCCGCGGCAAACGCTCAGATTCATCCGCATTGGATGTAAATGCAATAGTAAAGCGTTTTCTTGTCGACCCAATTTATGAGCTCTGAGTCTAACTCGGGAAATCGAACTGAACGGTGCGCGACTTTGTAGTCAGAGTTGCAATCTTATGGCTTTGAGTAGGTGTTCCTGCTTCAGGATGTTTGTAATCGTTGCCTGTGATATACCGCGCTGAAGCTGAAACACGTTTAGCCCACAACCCAAGCTGAATGATCATTCTTCAATCGACCTTGACAGAATGGACAAAATCAATAGTTCTGCTCCTACGAATAACAATATCGGTCATTTTTGTTTTACAATCCATTTATGAGAGGATAGAGGTCAGTTAGTCTTAAGTTTGTAAGCGGTCATCGGTAGACTACTGTATCTCAACCACCATTTTGAAAGAAATTTGTATTGGAACATCAATACAGAGAGGATCGTCTTTTGCGAAGTCCACGAAAATGCCATGGTCAAACTACCCACTGCCGCCCAGCTCATTTTCAACTGACAAGATACTTGCTTCTTTCTGATGCTATCAGTACGCACGCACGCGCATTCGAATGCAAGTGCAAGCTCGCAGCTTGCGTAGCCACAATACTACTTGGCTGTATTATGTGTATCAAGCTGTTTGAAAATGTGTGGCCATCGAATGAATCTTCGACGTGACTGGTATTAAAAAGTTTTTATTTATTAAATACGAATCACCGGCGGTTACAGATCGCGATGGGTCCATTCAACACCACGGCATCGTAGTATCGCTCTCGAACATCGAGTCGAAGATCTCTCAACCACATGCCTAAACGACTGATGTAAAGAAACTTGCAAAAGTAAAACCGCGGTACTTGTACTTATTCGCTATTAATAATAGAGAACTTTAGTTTCTGGAATAGCGTTGAATTACTTCAGCCCGTACCGGTACTTTCGCTCTTATTTAATAGAATAATTTTAGAATCTCCATCTGGAATTGTGGAATCGCCTTTTTTGTGTGCACATTGAAGTTTGAAGCGGCTGCGGGCTGGCTCGCACAGTGCGAGTCGTTGGCCAAGTCAAGTGCCCTCCTCAGGCGTTTTGCTGCGCGAGTCGACAACATCAACAAACTGAGGGTCACGTTGTCATCTCCGCACCTTACGGACTTCGCTCGGGCTTCGCGTGAGTCACGTCGGATTGCTCTATTAAAGTTCGGAATCCGAAATGGGTGTGGACTCTCATCAGTGGTGGCAGCGGGGGTGGTAACCCGCCGACGCGGCTTGGAATCGCCCGTCCACATTTGACAGAATCACGACAAAAGGGCAGGATCCAGGTTGGAGCAAGTAGGCATTGAGATGACGCATGGCGCGTCACCGGGCTCTCCGACCATCTATCACTACGTAAAGTAGGTGCCATAAGCACAGACTTGTAGGGCAGTAGGTGTAGAGCAAGTAGGAATAGAATGTAAGACACGTGAGTGCCGGGCAAAGTACCACGACAGGACCACGGAGTTCTGGTGCTTGCTGCCTCTCACTCGTTGTGCACGCAGCACAGCAAAAACAGTTGTGAGAGTGAGAGCTGCCAGCACCTGAACCTCCATGTTCCGCAAAGTTAGATTAGCACATACTCAGTCTAAGATAGTCTATAGAAAGCTAAGTAGTTCACCATCACCTGCAACGCAGTTGCAGTTGCTCACCGCCACCAATGTCGTCCTTCATACAGTCCTTGGTATCTTCCGCACGCCGCTCGCACGTGAGCGCGTTGCAGACCGGTACGCCGGGATGCAGTACATGCATAGACACGCGTAGGATTGTAGGTTGGATCGGTAGTACTGGTATTGCCAGTGTCTTGGGCTGTGGCAATGACGTCTGGCACTGGACACTGGCAGACCGTAGCAAATAGCATCTCACAGTAGCAGGATAGCATCTCCCACTCCCACTTGATTTTGGTGATGCAGTGCCGAATCGACGCGATCACATCGCTTCATCCGTACACACACCACTGAGAATAGTCGTACGATAGCCACCACCACCGTAATTTGCTAGCTGCATAGTCTCCCACTCGAATCGCACATGTCCGTAGTCCAGCGCAGTTGATTGCATGCTAGTGTTGTGGTACAGCCACACGAAACTGGTTCTTCCAGTCGGCACACAGGCACACTACATGTCATCGTCGTCAGTAATGTCTAATCCGTCGTTCTTGACCGCATCGCAGGTGACGCAGTCAAGGTATCATGCATCGCAGTTGACGCAGATGTAGCCTTTTCATTTACAGTGGCGGCCATGTCACTGTCTGCCACGATAGGCAGTACCTTCAGCATCTTTCGGACTCGGGAGAACTTGACCACCGCAAGTGGTTTGGTCATGATGTCCGCCACCATGTCCTCCGTCCCGATGTGTTGCGTAATGATCCGTTTGAGTTCCACGTTCCGCCGCACCATGTGGTATTTGTTGTCAATGTGTTTTTGCTTGCTGTGCTTGCCGGGTTTAGTCGTTAGAGAGATGGCTCCCTGATTATCTCCGAGTAGTACAGGTAGTGCATGTTTCCACACTAGTTCTCGGCAGAGCTCTGCAAGCCACAGCAAGTCCTTTGTAGCTTCAGCCATTGCAACGCACTCAGCTTCACATGTGCTCTGAGCATTGATTTCTTGTTTCCTCGACGCATAGGAGACAAGATTGTTGTCCATTGTCGTCACGTATCCACTGATGCTGCGGCGGTCAACTGGATCATTAGCATAGTCAGCATCCGAATAGCAACCCACACGTAGGTCACTCGCTGACGCAACATCCATCACCAGACCAAAGTCACGTGTAGCCTGCAGGTAGCGCAATACCCGCTTGGCTTGCGCATAGTGAGTATGGTCGTAGCTGGCTAGGTATTTCCCGAGATGTCTGGTTGCGTGTGCGATGTCAGGTCTTGAGGCACTTACAAGGTACTGAAGCGCACCAACCAGCTCTCGATAGGGCAGGTACTCGGTCGTAGCAGGAACAACCGCCTTTGAGGGTGTCAAAGCCTCAGGCGTAGTACACCCATTGCACGTCATCATGTGAAATCGTTTGAGTACTTCGAGTACATACTGTTTCTGGCAGTAGATAATCTGTCGACTGGGTCGGTTGATCAAGATCTCCACACCTAGTAAGTACTTCACGGTTCCCATGGTCGTGAGCTCAAACGTTTCTTGCAGCGCGGCTGCAATTCGAGCACACAGCTCACGTGGACCCATTAGTAATAGGTCGTCCACGTATACAGTTAGGAGCATAGTCACTTCTCCATCCTTCTTCAGCGCGTACAAGCCGTAGTCCGACTCCAGTCTTTCAAGCCCAAGTGTCAGCAACTTGGCATGTAGAGCTCGGTTCCATACGTTCGGTGCTTGTTTTAGTCCATAGAGGCTCTTCAAGAGCTTACAGACAAACGCTGGCCCATCTGTTTGAAAGCCTGGTGGTTGCTCCATGAAGATTAACTCATCGAGGTCCCCGTAAAGAAACGCGGTCTTTACATCGTACTGAAGAACTTCCCATCCTCGTTGAAGGCGAAGTAGATGGCAACACGGATCGTCCCAACCGGATTACCGGTGCGTAGGTCTCACTGTAGTTCACGCCCAGTTGTTGTTTGAAGCCATGAATCACGAGACGAGCTTTAAATCCTTTCACACGCCCTCGTTCGTCACGCTTAACAGCGAACACCCATCTGCACGTAATAACCTTGACGCCTTTGGCTGCCGCGCGTGGCACCAATTTCCATGTCTTGTGTCGTTTCAGTGACTGTAGTTCAGCAAGCATAGCAGCCTTCCACTGAAGCCAATGCTTGCTCTGACGTGCCTGCTTGTAGGTCGTCGGTATCTCAATGTCCACATTGATAGACATCACGTTGCCCACCACATAGTCAAGAAGCCGCACACTTGGCTTCTGCGTCCTTCGAGGTCGCTTGAGACAGGGTTGAACAGTAGGATCGCGAATCTCAGAGGTTTTCGTCTCCTTCTTTTCTGGTTCAAGTTTCTTTCGCGTCTTTCGTTTTCGTCGCTTGCCAGACTTGGGTGCCGCAGGTGGCTCCTTCGTCTCATCGTTCGCAGCAACTTCAACTGGTGCATCTACACCGGCTGGCGACTCTACTTTCTGTTGCACTCCCACTGGACTCATGCTCTTTGTCCTGCAGGTCATCCTCTATCGGCACCATCTCGAGCTGCTTCGTCACATTCGAAGACTCAGAGCTCCAACCAGGCAGGTACGTCTCCATACTAGTCTTGATGCGTGCCACCGGAACACTATCGGGCAGCTGATGATCACCATCGTCATATGCGTTCTCTAGGAGTTGTTTTACGTAAGTGCCGTCACTTGTAAACTCCTCGTGAAATCGCGTGTTTCGTCCACGTGTAGTCACGACTTGAGCTGTCTTCAAATCCAGAAATTTGTAGCCCTTGGTATCATGACTATAACCAAGTAATAGAGATATTCGTGCTCTCGGCTCCAATTTTTCCTTCTTTTGTCTGGACTCAGGAAGGACACGCACGTGTGCCACACATCCCCAAGTCCGAAGCTCATCCACATCGGGTGTCACACTGTACAGCTTCTTGTATGGCGAGACCAGACCTAGCGGTTTAGTTGGTAGCCAATTCAGTGTCGTAACAATGTGTAGAAGTGCTTCTCCCCATAGCATGTTAGGAAGATGTGTAGCGGTTAGCATAGCACGGATGCGAGGCAGTACAGTGCCATTCGCTCGCTCCACCACACCATTCTCCTGAGGAGAGTAAGCATTCGTGAACTGCTGCACAATCCAATGCTGATTGCAGTAATCTCTCAGCGCATTACTGGTGAATTCACCACCCTGAACAGAGTGCAGTCTCCGAACAGTGAGCTTGAGAAACTGAGTCCGAAGTTGATGTAGCAAAATCTTGACGTACAGTGTAGCCGCACTCTTTCGTTCGAGTAGATACGCCCACTTGAAGCGAGTAGCTTCATCAATGATTAGCAGGAACATAGTTGCACCACCTTCCGTCGGTTCATTCATCGTGCATATGTCCATCATCAACATCTCGAGCGGTTCAGACTTCCGTTCAGGAATCCTTGCATAAGTCATCCGTTTAGTCTTGCTAGCAGCACACGCAACACACTCGTAGGAGCTCAGACCTTGTGCATTAATCTTTACTCCGACATCGAGCTTACTCGTCAGCTCTCTCACAGTGTCCATACTCATGTGAGCGAACCGTTGGTGCAGTAACTCCATCGTCTTTCTGCTGTCTATGTCTTGTTTGCGTGCTGCCATCACCATCACTCCTGACACTCGCTCTGCCTTCAATCGGTAGATATTGTCTCGCATGATAAACTTCAACGAAGTACCTGGCTTTGAGAGCCAAGCTGACTGCTGATCATCTGAGCACAGCAGCTTGTACTTCCCAGCCGTCTGCAAGTGACCGAGGCTGATAATGTTCACCTTTGCATTAGGAGTGTAGACCACGTCCTCAAGGAGGCGATCTTCTTGTTCACCAGTTGTTTGGTTTACAATGCGTAGCAAGACAGAACCTCACATAGTTGCATGTTCCGATGTTCCGTTGGCAAAGTCAAGCCGACTGGTGCGATCTTCTCGAATGGTAGTAGATAGAGACAAGTCTCCACAGACATTCGCCTGAGAGCCAGAGTCCAAAATCCACTCCACCCAATCTGTGTCATCAGACTGCTTTACTTGGCTTCGACCAATCGCATTCACCTGTCGAGATCCACCGATACCATCATTCCCACGATTTTCGCAGTGTCTAGGCGAGTTTCCACGACGACTTGGCGACAAGTTCCGACGTTGAAGATCATTTCGACGAATGCAATCATTCAGTAGTGGTCCACGCGCGGGTGATGGTTCACTACGTCACGGCTCTTGCGGCTGGGGTCCGTAATGACTTGGCGGCTGGTTGTTCGCTCGTGGCTCACGACGAGCAGACCAATTACGACCACGAGGTGGCGAACGCCAACGCAATGGCGAACGCCCACGCTGCAGTGATCTTCCTCTCGGTGAACGGCTTCTTTCAGACTGCGGTGGTCTTCCTTGTTGCAGGTTTCGGGGCGGTGAGCGACTCCATCTACGTTGCGGCGACCTTCCTCGTTGGAAGTCCCAAGGAGGCGAGCGGCTCCTTCCACGTTGCGGTGATCTTCCTCTTTGGAAGTTCCGCGGAGGTGAGCGGCTCCTTCCACGTTGCGGTGATCTTTCTCTTTGGAAGTTCCGCGGAGGTGAGCGGCTCCTTCCACGTTGCGGTGATCTTCCTCTTTGTAAGTTCCGCGGAGGTGAGCGGCTCCATCCTTGTAGTTGTAGTGAGTCAGCTCGTCCTGGTATAAATCCACTGCGTCCTAGCTCATAAGAACTCATGTTGGACTGATATCCTCGCCCGTAATCTTGCTCAGGTCCTTGGCGTCCGCGTCGCTCAACATTAGGTCCACAATGATCATCCCCCGGCACAGGTGGACCCACTTGTGGTCCACCTTTGGTGTACCATAGCTCAGATCCAGGTCCTTGCGAGCTCTGCATCAGTCCTTGACCCAGATAATATAGTGCAGTTCCCAAAGCAGGAGGTGGGCCAAGCGATTGGCCACTCTCCCACTGGCTTTTCATCGCCGCTGGTACAGCAAATTGCCCCTCTTGGTGTCCTGTATGCACTTGTCCATCCTTTTGTTCTTGTTCTCCACCTTGCATATGATTAAAAGGAACGTTCAGTTGCAGTTGTTGCGGTGTCGTTGGCACGTTCGGGTGTACTGCAGGTGTACACTTGGACTCGAGTCCGACTGCCGACGTCTTCACCTCTTCAGCCAGATTCATATCTTCAGCCTCACTGCTCGCAGGTGTTGTCACCGAATTCACGGGAGACATGTGTGCAGCCGTCGCCACACCATCGTTGTTCCCATCGTTATTCGCCAGTCGTGTCGTCGCACACAACGAGAGACCCGAGAATAGGCTCGTTGCTCACTGTCAGACTGGGCAACTTCAACTCGTCTTACCGAGTTGATGAAGGAAGCTGGCGACTTCTTGTACCTCAACTTGTTCTTAAGTCTCTTGGCCAGGTCTGGTCTCAGTTGCATGCCAGTCTGCGCAGTGCATTCTGCATACCAGTGACCATCTCCATTGCAGTTAGCGCAGGCTGTGTGCTGCTTCTTCTCAGCTGCAACCTTTGCCTTCTTGCGCTGGTTCTTCCCACGTTTCTTTCCAGACTCACGTCCACTTCCACTGTTGTGTCCATGTCCGTAGCCTTGACCTTGTCCTCGTCCTTGGCCAGTACCAACCTGCGCGACTTGCATCGTCCGCGTTGTAGGCCGGTTCGTCTGCTGTTGCAGCTGATCACGCTGATGTTAAGCGGAGCGCAGGCGCTGCAATGCCTCGGACAGCTTTAGGCCACGTCGGTCGTGTTGGTTGATCCAGTCTGCGTGTTCACGCGCGAGATCTCGAAATACCAACACGCAGTTTGATAGAAGTAGGCTTGCATGTTGCCATTCTTCAAATTCACCATTTCCTTGACGCAGGAGTGTCACCTTTCGTCCGATGTCCTCCACGTACGCAGTAACGGACTCGTTCGGTTGTAATCGGCGAGTCACCAAGTCCTGTAGCAAGTAGTCAGGGTTGATGCCGTCTCCAGCCTCAAAGTGTTTGGTAATCGTTGAATACAGCATTGCTGCCGCATCCATGTTGTCTCTTATCTCATCGATCTTGAACATAACGCGTAAGTCCACAGATAGAGATAGGGCCAACGCGGAGAACGCCTTGTTCTTTCGCGTCGCATACCACTCATGATACTTATGGCGACGTAGACCTTCCTCTTCGTCATATCGCTCTCCTCCATACGTAATGTCGCCTAGCGAGCGCGTCTCGAAGTCCAACGGCACCTTGCTTCGCCACGCTTTGTAGTCTTCTTTCTTGTGAAGCTTAGGCAACACAATGCTTGCGGAGTTGCGCAACGCCTTGGTGTGGTCGGACAGCTCCTTGTCGTCGTACCGACCACCGGGGTTCATGTTGTCCAGGCTGCTCTCTCCTCGGCTCGTGTAGCTTCGTCCACTGCCAGCCAATCCTTGGCTCGACGGTGGTGGAGGCGGAGGGGCGGATTTTCAACTGGCCCCGCTTCTTCGATTGTGTTCGAATTCTGCATACCTTCGAGTAACACTCGAAGCAACGGTCGCCCACCAGTAATTCCGACCAATGAGCGAATTAGTCGCTCAGCATCAGATTGCGATAATGTCGCATCATCCGGGCCATTCAGTCTTTCGACCAATCCCGAAATATCTTCTCCTTGATTCGTCAAAACTTCTTCTTGTGTGTTTTCAACACCAGAGTCCACGTCAGTCGATCGCTGCGCCCTGATTGGGCTCATAACCTGAGATGACGCATGGCGCGTCACCGGGCTCTCCGACCTTCTATCACTACGTAAAGTAGGTGCCATAAGCACAGACTTGTAGGGCAGTAGGTGTAGAGCAAGTAGGAATAGAATGTAAGACACGTGAGTGCCGGGCAAAGTACCACGACAGGACCACGGAGTTCTGGTGCTTGCTGCCTCTCACTCGTTGTGCACGCAGCACAGCAAAAACAGTTGTGAGAGTGAGAGCTGCCAGCACCTGAACCTCCATGTTCCGCAAAGTTAGATTAGCACATACTCAGTCTAAGATAGTCTATAGAAAGCTAAGTAGTTCACCATCACCTGCAACGCAGTTGCAGTTGCTCACCGCCACCAATGTCGTCCTTCATACAGTCCTTGGTATCTTCCGCACGCCGCTCGCACGTGAGCGCGTTGCAGACCGGTACGCCGGGATGCAGTACATGCATAGACACGCGTAGGATTGTAGGTTGGATCGGTAGTGCTGGTATTGCCAGTGTCTTGGGCTGTGGCAATGACGTCTGGCACTGGACACTGGCAGACCGTAGCAAATAGCATCTCACAGTAGCAGGATAGCACCTCACAGGCATCCGTGACCAGGCCGATGTAAGCCTTGCAGCACATTTCAACAAACGTATTTGTATATTCAAACCACTGTATTCTGACAACCACGATTACATGCATTGCCTGGGTTAACGATTTGCATAAACTAGTACATGTGCTTAGCACATGTATTAGGTGCTGATTAGTAAGCTACTTGTATACCAACTTCTGTGGCGATGTTGGCGCTTGCGCTACGGAGTGCTGAACGGTGGAGACTCACATGTGCAGCCCCAGATAGAAATTTTGCTGGCCGTGCTTCTTCTCAAACTTCTCCACCGTTGTCTTCACAAAACCTTCTGTCAGTTCGTCCACCGGCACGTTCAGCTCTCGGCAAAGCTTAAGGACGCGCTCACCTCCGGTTAAGGCTTCCTGAGGGGTGTCCACGGTGTCGAGGCAGATAATATGGAGCTGCTTGGTCTTGAAACTCAGACGAATCCGCATCTGAATGTCTGATTCGCAACACTCACGTGAGCAAGTTCGCAAGTAAACAACGAAGTTGACCGATCGCCTTACCTTCCAACACGGTGAGAAATATGTTAGTCCAGACACACAACGACGCCGATACTGATGAGCTGCTTGTTGCTGAGGCTCTGCCAGCGCTCAGGTGCCGTCTTGAGCGGCCTGTCTCGCTTCAAAATTTGAAGGACACCGTTGCCGGTGAATAGCGCGGCGTCCTCCTTTTCCAAGATGCTGTGCATGGTCGCGTAGGGCGTGAGGAACTTGAACGTGCGCGCTTCGGAGATGGTTTTCCCTGGAAATGTCACCCGGCGGCCAGCACCATAGGAATAGACGCGCATCCCCGCTGAGCTTAGACTTTCATGGGCGGCGGCGCTAAGGTTCACGTTGTTGACGCACACCATCGCGAACATGGGACGTGGGCTGGGTTCGCTGCTCAGCATGTCGTCGTTCTTTGTTTTATTTTGTTTTCCTTGCGGCTGAATAGAAACTGAAGCATGGAAACTTCAAGTCCTAGGCTAGGATTCCTAGAACTGCTAGTAGCAGTAAAGGGAACCCGGGCTCCACCTTCAAACGTGCCTGGAAACACTGTGAACCCGAGGGCTCCGCCTTCAAAATGTGCCTGGAAACACTGTGAACCCGAGGGCTCCACCTTCAAACTGTGCCTGGAAACCGAGGGGTATCTCACGAGGGGTGTCTGACCGCGTCTGATATTGTCAATTCCGCCCCAATTTGCCGAAGCGGGACGATTCGGAGAAAGGCACGAAGCGAACGGCGAATCGACGCTGCGTTGTTAAAGGCCAAAATTAAGAAAAATTATTTTTATTATCCAATGAGATGCCATATTTACGTTGAAGTTGAAGTGACAGCGCATCTCGGACTGAAGACTCTGCTGCAGCCAGCGCTCCTCGGGCAAAATGCATGCCTTTATGAACTCGTCCCGATCTTTTGCCGACGCAATGGTCATGCCATACTCATAAATCATCAGCGTCACCGTTGTTCCTTATGTCACCACAAGCCACTGGTTCTATGCCTGGCGAGACTAGGTGAAGTCTACTACACGTTTCTTCACCGTAGACTGCACAAGTTTAGCTCGCTCTGCGAGCTGAGGAGTCTCCACACTCCATACACCGTCAGTCTTGACTGCATGCTTCTTCACACGACCAGAAAGCATTTCCCAAACAGGTTTTATAATATCGTTTAATGACCGTCAATTAAAAACAGAAGCACGCAGTGTTTCAGCTGACGAATCACGCTGATTAATGGACGTCTTTACAATGGTCCGCACAAGTAATTAACAGCGATTGTCAGGGGGGTGCTGCTGCTGCCGGCGCTGCCGGTGCAGCATCCTCTGTCAACCATGTGGCTACATGGTTCACCGAAACAGAATTTGGTGCTGTTGCATCAACATAATCATCCACAAGCCCCGAGATTTCCCGTGTACCTGGTGTCCCTGGGGCCTCTGTACCTGGTACTGGTGCAGCAACTTGATCCAGAACATTCACTAGCCCCGTTGTCGCCTATGAAGCAGCGGCTTCAGCCATAAATTCACCAGCTTGACCCGCCGGGGCGCCTTGAGCAGGTCACACAGCAGATTCAGTTCCCGAGAGACTTGGCTGCCTTGGCAAAGGAGTGGCCACTTCCTCACGCGTTGGCGGATGGTCAGGGGGGGAAGAGGGTCCTCTTGGAGTGAATGGAATGATGCTCGACTTGGCGGACGATATGGAGATGCGCATGGTGCATGGTCACGCCAGAGCGGAGAATGCAGCGTCATCTTCGGAGTGCGCGCACTTGTCATGAATGAAGATGGCGCGTCAGAGGTGTATTCTGTATCAACGTCAAAATGCATTCTGTATGTTAGGCTACACGATTGGGTGCGCGATTGGGCTGGTCGTGTCTCTCACACACCCGCAGAAATTTCGAATAGAACGCACAATACAAAAATCGTAATATTTCAGACGCCCGCGACCCCACTTATATACGGACTGAGAGGTCACATATATCTTCTTGACAGTGTCGTGCATTCCATTCTAATATTTGCGTGCTGGAAAGATTGTAACACAAGTACATGTACAGTCGTGCACCTCGTATTCGGCGGGGTGGACCATATAGAGTCTACGAGCTGCGAATATTTATAGAGGAACAGATGGAATCCAAATGTACTACTTTGTATTACCTTAATTAAGTACAAATGTCGCTGGGTAGCTGTATCCCTTCACGCGAGGCAATGCTAGTGACAATGGCACCTGTGACGGTGGCGTTGCCGTGCCATCGCTTGTCGACCTCGATCCGATTCATGAGATACTCGTCGGACGAGCGCTGCGAAGCCGTGCGAAACCTTTTGCGGAGAGAGTGAGCATTCGGGACGTCTTCGTAGTCCCTCTTGCGCTTTAGAAATGCCTTGAAGGGTGGAGCGCTTTACGTGGGTTTGAAACTCTTGTGTGGCCCACTGAGTGAGCTAAGACAGTGTCCATGATGGCTCTGTGGCTGCCTTCATGCACAATGTTTACTTATTGGCGAGATTCAACGTAGAATAGGCGGACGGGCGACGTGCCATGGCGTTTTGCGACAAAATTTATAATGAGCTGTTGTATGGTGAAGTGATTGAGCTGATACATCGTGGCGGAAGTGCGGCGTTTCATCCCTCCTCGAGGAGGGGAATACCATTGAGGTTATTTGGTCCAAAGGAGATGGGCAACTCATTTGCGCAATGCATGTGGCGCAATCATTAGATTGTGCAGGTTATTAAGCCATGCCGGGGCCGAACGTGAGGTGCACGACTGTATTCAAGCAAAAAAAACTACAACATTCACTTCGTGATGATTATTGCGCTTGCAAGCTCGCTAGTGTCGAGAGGATCTTGGCTTGCGAGGCCGAAGCCTTCTTTACGTTGAATGTGCTCGTCTTCAGCGACGGCATGTGCTCGAGAAGAGATTCTGGACGATGCTTGATAATAAACTTCATTACGGCATGCATGTAGTGGAGTGCGTACACTGCACAGTCGACAAAGTTAGCCTGACGAGGCTTCGTGACGTAGTTGTATGTGGTTGTTACAGTAGTGTCGCTGGTACCAGATGCTTTGGCCTTAACTAGAAACCATTCGATCACAGCAAAAATATAGTCTGGTTCATGACCACCCCGCAATGAATTCACGTGGTATATGACGGTGCTTTCGCTGGAAAGGGGGCGCTCAACTCCCACAAAGCTTCAGTGGTCGTCCATCACAACCGGAAGATCACGTACGTGTGCGAACTCCAATTATCTTGCCGATTTATTTCATCAGCACTCCGGTCTGTAGCCATTCGACCAATATACGCAAAATTAATCTCAAAAAAATTGCTGATGTACCCGAATACACAAGCCTATCCTTTTCAAAATACGCCGCAATGCAAAAGTCGGCAGCCGCATTTGTTACCATGTTGCCTTCCTTTAAGCTCTCCAAATCATTCGCAAAATAGTGACTCCATTGTTTGTAGCTCCCTTCGAAGACGCATCCTCTGTACTTCGTTGGGTACTTGGACCAGTCCGCTTGTAGTAGCGTACTAGGAACCGCGAGACCCACGAACTCTGCGCACTGTCTGTTTTAAGAGCAAACTGCTCAATTCTGCTACAGTAGTCAAACACATCTTCCCTCTTCACCTTTCCATCTTCGCGACCGCAGGTATCACAGTACTCAATAACTGCCCATTCGTACGTTTCCATCTTGTGCTTACGCCCGCCTCCCTTTTCACGCTTGGCGACCCCAGGCTCATAAGTATCGAGTTTATGCCAATATGTTTTCTTCCATGATAGAAGCGTCGGTTTCAGCACATTTAGCTCCGTAGCGGCTTTGCCTGCGCTCCGATCGGAGTGGTCTCGCCACGTTTTAAGTTTTGCTATCCGCTCTCGAATGGGAGTCTCAGTACGCGCCATCGCGGATCACTGCTTGGGGATTGAGTTTGCCTCAACGAGAGTGAGAACAATGAGTGGTCACACCAATCTGAACGGATACGCAGAATAGATTGACCGGTCAGTTTATTGTAATATACGTTTATTCAGAATAGACTGACCGATCAATTTATTTAGAATAGTCAGACCAGTCAGTCTGTTTTAGTCTTGTCGAAGTTCAAAATAGTCTGTGGTCAGTCTATTCTGACTATATTGATTAGTAGAATAGACTGACCCGTCAGTCTATTCTGAATATATCGGTTACTAGAATAGACTGAGTGGTCAATCTGTTCAAAACAGACTGATCTGTTGTTTTACGCAAGCTCTGAATAAAAAAATTGACCAGTCAGTTTATTATGAACAGCACCATTTTCACAATAAACGGACCGGTCAATCTTTTTTATTTGTGCTCGGAACAGATTGACCAGTCGATGTCTAAGCCACGTACCATTACAACTAAATTGTGTAGGTATCTAGCATCTTGCTGAATGCGTTAAGGGACAAATTGTCACCCTTCCGCGCCAACTCAAGTTTTTCTGCCGCCTCGTTTGGAGAAATGTTATGTGTAATAGCTGTCTTTGTGATGGCATCATAGTATTTTTGCGCCGGAGATAGAAGCGAGCTTCTGTCGGGTCTTTCCGCCATTTAGACCCGAGCTTCTCATTTGCCTCCGAAATTGACATGTTTCCTGCAAGTCCCACAGAGTACTCTTTCCACAAGTCCACAACCGTCGAGATTGATCTGATCAGCTTTGGATTACGAGGATGAATTGACTGCGGAATTGCACATGATGTAAAGGGCGGCTGCGTTACTGCTGACTGCAGCGGATCATGACCTGATGTGCTGTCTTCCCAGCTGAGTACAAGCCGTTTGTTTGATAGAGCCTTTAGTGTATCTATCCCCGCTGCTAGCGCATCCAGCTTGCCGTGTAGAGATTCCATTCCGTTCTTCAGCACGTCCGAAATTTGAGGCACTACAACCGCAAGCGATTCTGTTTCAGGCTGTGTAATCGCTGGTATCAACGAATAGAGTTCCTGATCAAAGGATGCGTACTCTGCAGTGGAAAACAAACTGTGCTTCCACAATTGATGATTGGGATACTGCCGCAGCAGCACCACAGAGTCTTGGAGAACTACCACTCGCATGTGACGGAGCATTTGAATGAAGGCAGCTTCAGCAATTTCACGCGTCGAGCTTTGAGCCAGTTGTTTAACTGCAGCCTCAACCTCAGGGTAATCCAGTTGTTGTAGCTCAGAGCTTGGAGTAGCAGAACCTCGCTGCAGCCAGTAGCCGCCACCCTTTGTCGGATATCCAGCCAAGGCTCGCATAGCCTTTTTAGGTAGGGATGTAGTTAGCATCCTTCCATCCGCGCTGCATTCCACCTCTAAAGACGCCAAATTTGTTCTTCACTAGCACCAAATGTCTCCGCCAATTTCGCCCCCGATCCTCGATTAGCATGTGTCCAAACGGCTGAATCGATCCCGCACGCCGCGAAAGCTCGTTTGATACGATTTAA